AATAATAAAAAAAGAAAAATAATAAAAAAAAACAAAGACTCCTTTGTCCATATCATTTGCATAAGTTTAGACACACTAGAATGTTGAAGTTTAATTAAACTCAATTCTTACCTCATCCAAAATATCTAGGGTTGCTAAATCATCTACATCCTTTGGAATGGAAATTAAAGATCTGTTGAAATTACCTTTCTTGGTATGAATACGTTCATGCCTGTGGGGAAAAACCATTTCTGAGTTAAAAGATTTTTACTGATCAGAGCAGAAGTTGTTTTACATACATGTGAGATGGAATAAAAACTTTCTAACTTCAATTATAGGCCATTATAAAATACCCCAATATATTTTGTCTTTGCTGTTTGTTTTTTTCCTTTCCACTAGAAAGCACAACATATGAACTATCAAAAGGGTCCATAATTTCTGTCAAGAAATACCCTACATTTGTTAAAAATTTAAAGCTTTCTATAAATTTCTATGATTTAAAGTGTTAAAAAGTGGTGAGTCTGCAAGATTTGAATTTATTAGATTTCTAGTACTGAGGTAGTAGGCCACTGGCAGTCAAAGTATGATAATTTAAAAGTTATCATCCAGGAAAATTTAATAGTCATACAAAATATATCAAATCTTAAATTTTGAAAAGATTAAATGTATGTAAAAGTGGATTTCAGTTACTACTATCTTTATTTCTAGAGCAGAACATGTTGATAACTTTCAAAAGTAATATAAACATCCTTATGTAATGTGAAGGCTAGAGAAGTTGAGATAAACACAACAGCTTGCTTAAACTTTTCCAGATATCCACTCTGAGAACTGTACTTTTCAGTGTTTAATCTGTGACATACTTCCAAGCATCTGGACTTGTCCACTGATATAAAGGGAAAGGAATGACCAGAACGTAAGAATTATTAAGAACCATAACAACAACAACAACAAAAAAGAACCATAACATTCCCTCAGAAACCTTTAGTGGTTTATAATTGCTTAAAAAATTATATCTATTAGTGATAGGGATATAGCTCAGCTCTGGAGTGCTTGCCTAGTAAGTAGAAGGCTGTAGGTTCAATCCCAGCATGCAAAAAGAAAAAAGAAAGAGAATTCAATCTATTACCATAATAAACAGACCTTTCCCTACCTATGGCCAGCTCCCTGTTAGCTTCCATCCCCTCTCAAATGGACATCAATGCTCTCTGGTCCTTCTATGGTTGCTGTATTTTTTTTTTTTTCACCTTAGCTATATCACCTCACAAGCAGCAAACTGCCTTCCTTTGGCTTCCAATCTCCCCCATTTATTGTTCTATTTCTTTGTTTTATAGAAGGAAATAAACTCTCTAAAGCCATCATGTACACTTAAGTTTCTTTGGGCATCTATTGCCACATTCCATGACAAGACTTTTTTACTCAAGAACCTGATGACCTTCATGTTGCCAAAGCGATAGGTCAATTCTAAATCCTCATTTTACTTAATCCACCAGCAGCATTTAGCCACTGCCTCCATTTTTCTTGGCTCCCAGCACATTCTCTAGATTCTCTTCCTGCTTCATGGGTGTCTCCATCTGAGTATATATGTATTTTATGGTTTTTCCTCATCTTTCTGTCACATTTTGAGGTTTCTCAAAATTGAAAGAAATTTCAGTTCTTTGAGCTCCAATCATCTTTTCTGCATTCATTTCCTGTTTTCAGAGCCTCAAACATTCCTCCTGCACTGATAACCCCAGATGCAGGCATCTCAGTGCTTATTCAACACTTCACTAGAGACTAACAGGCAGACCTAGCATATTCTGAACCACACTGCTGAATACCTGGGACCTAGCCCTGCCCACCCCCCATGATCCCCATTTCACGCTTGGGGATCATAAACTGAATTCTTCCCATCATTCAGAACAAACATCTTAGAGGCATCACTGGCTCTTTATTTTCTCACATTCTTTATACAATCTAGATACTGATCCCTTCAGTCATTATGTCATATCCAGGACTAGATATTTCTTACCGCTCCCACCTCCAACATATTTCATTCTGTTACTGCAGCAGCAGTCTTTTAAGAGGGCCCTCTACTTCTCACAGCCCTCTCCTCACTGAAGCCAGAGGGGCCCTTGAAAGTAAATCACATCTTGTCACTCCTCTACTCAAAATTCCTGTCTTTACACTATTACTCAAAGCAATGTCCAAAGTCTCAGCACGGCCTACCAGACTCTCTGTGCATCTGGCTCTTCCTCTATCTCCCCCATCATTTCTCTAACATCATCTCTTCCCAATGTTCATCCTACTCCATTCTTCGCACCCACACTGGCTTCCAGGTTGGACAGTACATTTTTGCATGTTTCTATCTCACAGACTTGGACTTGCTGTTCTCTCTGACAGAATGTGCAAAATTATTAAGAACCATAACAACAACAAAAAAGGAACCATAACATCCCCTCAGAAACCTTTAGTGGTTTCTAATTGCTTAGAAAATTATATTTATTAGTGATAGAGATATAGCTCCGCTCTGGAGTGCTTGCCTATTAAGTAGGAGGCCCTCCCATATCTGCAGAATCCCCTTTCACCACCTACAGGCCTCTCTCAATACTGTACTGATCACAGTCATTTTTCTTGAGCAATCCATGTAAATCAATTAGCAACTTCTATCCAGAACTTCTCATTCTGCCCTTTTCATGTTCTATTTTTACCAGTTTTATCTCTCTCCTCTCAGATATTGCTCCCTCACATCCTCTCATTAGATTGTAAACTTTGTGAGAGGGGGCACCAGTGTCATCCACTGCTGAGGCCTCAACACTCAAAATGCCTGGCCCGGCACATAGCAGGTACTAACTAAATATCTGTTGAATGACTAGACAAATGACATTGTATCTAATGTGCATTCCCATTCACAAAACATTTTTATACTTTAATTGGACTTGCCCCTGTTCCTTCTGTATCTCCTGTAGTTTCACTATTTGCCCTATGCCTTTATTTCCTCTTCCGCCCCATGTGGCTGATGAGATTTCAACTCTCCACAGTCGGCCTCAAATACTACATCTTTTAAATCTGTCAACACTATGCATCCATGAGAAGAAAGATCTTGGTTAGGCCATTTCAGTCTTTTTGTGTAATGGGTTTCTCTCTATGAGACACCGACTTCCCATCTTTTGCAGCTGTTAACTCAAGATGGATCACACCCCTAAATGTATAGCTATAAGACTCATAGAAGATGACAAAGGAGAAAGATATCCTTCGATTTGGCTGTGAGTTTTGAGTTGCAACACCAACATCATTGTCCATCCATGAAAAAAAAAAACACTGATAAGCTGGACTTCACTAAATTAATTTAGCCTTCTGCTATGTGGAAGACATAGTTAGGAAGATAATAAGTAATGCTCAGAACAGTGTCTTGCTCCTACTTTATTTTGTTTTACTCTTATTCTAGTTCTCAGTTAGGCTCCTCCATAATAGTTTATGATAATGAATAATTATGCACTTATTTATGTGGAAAATTTTATAATATCTAATCTTTTACTAGAATTAGCATTTCAAGATTTGAAACTGTCTTTAGCTCTACATTTTATCACATGAATAAGCAGCTTAATATGAAGGTATAATATGAGGCATGATGAAAAAATACAATGGGTATTTAAATTTTAAAAAAGTATTACACTAAAAGATACCTTGCAATCAGTGCCCTTCAAAGTACGCCTCCTCACTCCATACACTTTCATCTCATCATTCTCCCCACTTTCTGAAGCAGTTCCAGAAGCTCTCCTTTGTAACTGTCTTTATGTGCACTGTCATGACTGCCTGGATGTCCTGAGGTGACACACCGTGTTTACCTTTCATGGTCATTTTGATGTTAGGGAAGAGCCAAGAGTTGCACACTGCCAGATTGGGTAAAAAAGGTAGCTGAGAACACACTGTAGTATTTCCACGAGCCTGCCTCTCTGGTGGATGGCACTCAGCAGCAGCATTCTCTGTATTTTTAATGTCACATGAAGATATTCACCAAAGGAGACTTCCAGAACTGCTTCAGAAAGTGGCAAGAATGATGGGATGTGTGGGGGAAGATTACCTGAGAGGGATTACTATGTCCTTTACTATACTTTTAAAAACAAATTTAAACACACATTTTATTATTTGATCAACCCTTGTAGGCCCTAAGTAAATGTCAATTTAATGTACAGGCACATGCATTCTTCTACAATTTTTGGTACAGGATTTGCATACTTCATTTCCACATTAGGTGAACTGAATCAATATCATCAACTTGCCCCAAAGAGACCCGCATAAGTATAGTAATTTTTTTCATATTATTTTTAAGAAAATAGATAAAAAATCAAATTATCTAAATGAAGTAAAACATCTTGAACTTTTTATCTGTTCTTATGAGTAGATTTGGCAAAGACCAGAAATCTGCTTACTGTGATGATGAAAACCCCAGGCAATTCCCCATTCTGTACAGCACAATCTAAAATTTCCTTGGTGAAGAATTCACTGCCTTCTTGATCCTGCTCAAACCTTCTGACACCATTCTCTCGCATAGAACACCTCTGGAAGGCTGAGGACTTTGAAGGCTCTTTATTTACTAATCCTGTTTTCTCCACCTGGAATTATTTTCCTCCTATACATGTCACAATTCTACTACTTCTCAAAATTAAGCTCAAATTCATTCCCTAGAGCCACTGCAGGAAATTCAAGAGAGAACACAACGATAGAGGCAAGTTCTCACATTAAATTAGGCCTATACATAATTTCTGTTTGATATGGAAACACCAAACCAATGCCATTTTGTGTTCTAGCGCCATTTTGCAACCTAAGTTTCTGTTTCCTTAAGTTTGCTTCTTGTAAATTTTGTCATAGCTACCTAACCCAATACCATGCCATACTTTGTCATAAGACCACTTATTCCTTATTTAAATTGTTGAACACCTTTCTTCTGTTACAAGCTAAGCTCATGCTTTGTAGTACTTTTGTATTTGCACAAACTCCTATCAGCACAACCCCACCCCAGGCCTAGAACTAGACCCAGATCTACAACTATGTAACCATTCTCCCCTCCTGCGCTTTAGGCTCAGCACTTGGCCATGTACTGGGTGTGCACTGCTGGCCCCTAATAACCTTGCTTGTCTCTGCATCCAGCCTCCACAGGACTCAGTTAAATAAGTGGTGTTGCTGCAACAAGTTTTTTCATCTTTCTGGGCCTGGATCTATGTATGTAATAGAATTAGCGGCTTTAATCTTCATCATAACCTTAATATGATATCTGTGTTTCACTGAAACAAGTAATTCTTCCAGTTTGAGTAGAAAGTATCTTTAAATAATCTTTATTAGCATAACACTTCTTGAAGTACACAACTAATTTCTCACAGAGCATTCAAATGTTTATATGCATAATTTTATACATCAGTGAATAGCCAATGAGTCATGATTTCATACTCATCTAGATATTTTTTATGTCTTTATTAGTGTGCATGCAATGATTTGTCAGATTTAGCTGAATGCCAAGTATTAAACAGAATTTCAAGAACAGCAAATTTTGATACTTAAAAATCTAAATTTAAGCGTACAGTTCAACATCGGCACCATTTTTTGAGACTTTGCTATACTTAAGACATTGACTACAGTATTGTGAGGATTCTGTAAGTAGAATAAAATCTAATCCTCTATTCCATGAGTTTCATTCTAGTATAAGACATAGACACAATTGTATTTATAACAATACTTCTGTATTTATAACTAGTGTCCAAACTGAAGTAACACAAAAGTATTAGGGAATTTTATCCTGGCAAACTGGGAACAGCTCCTAGTAGATTCTGCATTTAATTCTGGTATCTAAGTAGGAGTAGGACTCTAGCAACTGATGCAGAGTATTTTTGTTGGGTGAAGACTGGTAGGTGGTCTAGTCCGGATGAACAGTAGTTACAGAGGCTCAGATGCAGAACATGTGCTCCAGAGACAGTGATTATAGGCCATGCCCAGAAGGTACAGCACTACAGTCTATGAGGTTGAAGGCTGAGGAAACTAGGCCAGGGGAGGGACCAGTTGTGGAGAAATATACATGCCTTAAATGCTTGCAAATTCTAAATGTCCAAAAGCAATGCATAGTGTCTGCTCACAAATCTGAAGCTCCTCTGGCACTTCCTGCTTCACTGACAGAGTCATCAACTTAACTGTGCATCCCAAGACAGCTCCTTCTCTCTACCTCCCACATGCACTCCATCACCAAATTATGTTGTTTGAATATGCTTAACATTTCTTAAGTCTCCATCTTCTCCACCTCCACTAAGGAGATGACAGTGCCACTGAGGTGGAGATAACGGGTTAGTAACCATGATAAAGATGGGAAGAAAAATTTAGATGTCATGAATGCCCCACAGGAGAAAATTTCAAGGAGAAAGTAGATAAAGGGCACACAAGAACTGAACAGGATGAAATTTTAAAAGGCCAACTGAACAGGATAAAAAGTAGGGCATCTTATTTTCAACTGATAGCTTACTCACTTAGTGATAGCTATGACACAAATAAGAAAGGGTTCTGTAGCCCAGAATTTCTCTTGAAAAGTTGACAGCAAGAGGGTTATAGCTTGAGAAGAAAGCAGCAAGTTGAAAGATGGATAACACAGAGGTATAAACAAGCTGAAAATATGAAGAGGAAGATTCTGAAGATGTGTATCAAATTTCATGGGAAAGAGACATTGTTAATCAAGGATAAGAAAAGCAGGGCTTCACAGTCTTTCGAGATTGGCTTAATTGCTTAGCAATACCTTTTAAGGTTCCTTCATATCTTTTTAAGACGATAGTGCATGTGTTTTTAGTGCTGAATAATATTCCATTGTCTGATGGAAGTGTTTCTTTGGTCAGTTAACTGAAGTAGAATTCTTTTTGTATGCTATTTGACTATTTGCTAATACTTTGTCCGAGTTTTTGCATATACGTGTAGCAGAGTTACTGATGTGTAGTTTTCTTGTTATGCCTTTTTGTGTTTTGGGCAATATGGTAATGCTGGTCTCATAGGAGTTACAAAGTATTTCTTCAGCTTCTGCCTTGTAGAAAAGCTTAGAAAAAGAAATAATTAACTTCATAAATGTCTGGTGGAACTCAGTGGTGAAACTATGTGGACCTAATGCTTTCTATTTTAGAAGAACATCATTCACTGTTTTAATTTCTTTAATAGATATTCTCTGTGAGTGTTGGGAGAATGTGCCTTTTGAGGAATCCACCCTTTTCATCTAGGCTACACCACATTTGTGGGTATTAAATTCTTCATAATATTTTCCTAGTATCCTTTAATATGACATCTATAATGATAGCTCTTCTGTCATTTCTGATACTGGTAATCTGTCTTCTGTTTTATAGCCTGGCTAGAGGCTTAATTTTATTGATTATTTTGAACTGCTAGCTTTTGTTTATTTTTCCTTTTATTTCTTGGTTTTAGTTTTTCTGATTTCTACATTATTTTTCATTATTTTATTTTTTTCTGCATACTTTTGAACATATAGGATGTTCTTTTTCTAGTTTCCTAAAGTGGAAATTTAGATTGCTGGTTGTACTGAATTTCTAACTGGTGGTCACCCAGCTGAATTAAACTAGTGTGGTGCTGGGTGCAGAAGGCCTACCTGAGGGTTGTTGCCAGCAGCATAAAGGCAGAACTGGAGAAGCTGCAAAAAAATGCTGCTAGGGACGTTGTTCCAAGAAGCTGCTGGAGCTGTTGGAGGCTGCTAGTTCTCTTGGGCTGTTCTGCTGGAGGATGTTGTCATCCTGGCTTTTCTGATGAACTTTGGAGAAGCTTGGGTCCTCATCTTGATCATCACTTCCTGGCTCCAGAAGGGAAGATGGTGCACTGCTCAGCCTCATGGAGAAGCTTGTCATATTGGCTTTCCTGCACTACCAGGTTGATGTGTAGAGTAGATGAAGCAAGCTCCTATTTCATCTCCTAGCTCCAAAAATCCATTTAATATATTGTCTTCAGATAAAGAACATATCAGATATTAAACTGAGAAGAACAGATACTACACTTGATCTTAGCCAAAAGACTGAGAAGCAATCATATTTGCTTTCCTGATGGGAACTCAGCCTTCCCCATTGCTTGGAGGAGGTCAGGACCTGACTGTTGCTGAGGATGGCTGTGGTACTTTTGGAGAAATGCTGGTGCTTACTTTGAGCTTTGCTTCCTAGCTCCAATTCAGATCCCTCAGCTTGCTAGCACAGATCCTTCATCCCACTGGCACAGACTTCCTAGCTTCCACCACTGACCTTTGGGCCTGTCTAGTACAGATCCGTTAAGTGGACCTGCGTGAGACTTTGTTATGGGTTCTAGGCCTCCAGTTGGACTTGTGGGAGATACTGGTATGCACTCTAGGTTTCTAGCTGGATTCATGCAGGATATTAGGACCTGGGTCCTCAGCAGGAGTCTTTAATGTTATGCATGTGGACAGATTTCTTGCATTTCTTATATATGATTTTTTGGTAATTCATTATAAAGTACTGTTATAAAATCCTGTATTATATTATTTCCCTTACAAAACCCCCAAACCATGACAGGGTTTTTTACTCAGATATATGTTGAGAATCAAGAGCAAAGAGCCCAGCAGGATGATTTAAAATGTGAGTTTGACCAGAAAGGAAGCTCCAATAAAGCTGTAGCTTGCAAAGAGAGAGCTGAGAGGATCTCCATTGCCAAGAAAGAACAAGAGAATGGAAAAGATATCCTGAGAGCATCATAGTAAATAGGTATCTGCCCTTTACAGCCTCAGAACTGCAAGGGTAAGGGACTTTGCCTTGGAGAGAAAGCTGCAGAGCATCATGTTCAGAATGGTGGTGGCAGCCACGCCACATTCCAAAATGGCACCAGCATAGATAATTTGTTCCTCAGAATCAGACTCAGAGTGCTCGACCCCCACAGCCAAGAGAGAAGAAAGCCTGGCTACTGCTCCAGCTAGCAGTAGACCCTGGCATTCTCCACATGGTGTTGATTTTAGGTGCACACAGAATGCAAGAGGTCTGAGGTTGAGAAGACTTCCATCACCAAGATTTCAGAAGGCCTGGGAGGCCAGGCAGTGTGCCCCTGAGAGGGCAGTGTGTGAAGCAGAGAGTGAGAAGCTTAATGTGCAGTGGAAACCCCAGAAGTTTGGAAAATCCAGGAGCGTGGATCATCTAAGGGAAACTGTAGGATGGAGCAAAGCCAGCCTAAGAGAGAAGCCATGGGAACTCCAAACACCAGAAGTGACATAGGGGTGGAGCCGCATGGAGTTCACAATTTGCCACAAAGATTACTTTGTATGTTCCACATAGTACTATAGGACTTAATGTTTGCTCTTCTGGATTTTGGACTTGGTTTGGTCCTAATGCTTTGTTTCTTGCTGTGTGTACCTTGTGGAATGGTAACGTTTATCTTGTGCCACTGAATGTTGCAAGTGTTCAACTTTTCATTTGTACAGGGGCTCACAGCTAAGATCTTGGAGACTTGGGACTTGAACTTTTCAGCAATGCTAAAACTGTAGGACTCTGGCAACTCTTAGAAATGGATTAAAATGCCTTTGGTATAAAGTAATGTGTATGAGTCTTCAGGGGCCCAGGGGCAGAATATTATGGTTTGTGTATATTTGTCCCCCAAAGCCTCATGCAGTCATTGGGACAGAGTTATAGAGTTTGTGGTTAATTCATGATCCAGCGGTGGGATTATGGGTATGTGTGCAGTTGAGATTATGGGTGAGAGTGCTATAGCTAGCCTGTGGCACATAGTCTGAATGCAATATAAAGGAGGTAGACTTGCTCTTTGCAGCCATTGTTGCTGCTACTCCTTCCTTTGCTCTGCTGTTTTACACCACCGTGAACTTCTGTCTTCTTCCATGCTACTCTGCCTTGGAGCCAGCTAAGTATGGACTGAAACCTCCAAAAACTGTGAGCTATAAACCTTTCTTTTTTTTAATTTTGGCCATCAGGCATTTTGTCCTAGCAATGAGAGAAGAGTAATTGAGACATTGGTTTTAGATCTTTTAACATTTACATTCAATACAATAAATGCCTAGTTGAGTCTGGTTCTGATGCTTATTTCTTCACATCATGCTAAAATGGGTTTTTGCTTACACAGAAGATAAAAATAACACCAGTAAATTGGCCATTACTAATGTGGTGGTAGGTCATGGGGGGAGGAAATGAGAGAAATATTCTATAGTCCCATAATTAGATTTTTGCCTTTTTATGAGTCATGTCTCTGAACTGTGAACTTGCTAAGTGCTTCTGAGTCCTCTCCTCTTTAGTTCCCATGGCATTCTTTCAGGGACAGGATGGCTGGAGGGAGGTAGAGTTGGGCAAGTTCCCTTTCTCCAGATTCTTTAAACTCTGAAAAAAGCCCCAACATTTAGGCTTTGGTTAAGTAGTTTCTATTGAGAACAGGCCTTGTTAAGAAGATCAGAATGATTTGGCATAGTAAAAAAGGGGTCCCTTTTCTCCTCCCATGATGTCAACATGAGGGGATTTTTATTTGATATTCACTGTGAGAGCCTTACTGATCTCCCAGAAGTACAACTTACAAAAGTGTGAGGGACTGTGAATGAATGGGGTCCTTGGTTCTTTTTTATTCTCAAACTTACCCACACTGAGAATGCAACAATTAATCAGTTATGGTTCAAGCTTTTCAATCCTAGTAATAGGATTGAAGCGGTTTCTGCTCATGGATTTCTGCTCCAGTAAGTCGTGATTCTTTGCGTCTGCCGGACTGTCACATCGAATCTGCAGGCAGCAGCCCGCCCAGTAACCTTTTACTGATGGCTCCCAGAATGGTTCCTCTCTCTGTTCAGCTATTTACTGGCTGTTGGGATGGAGGGGCAACTTCCAGGTCCCTGGCCTGCTGGATTCAAACTGGATGAAGAGCATTCCCAAAGAACCTATATTTATGAAGATGTGGGAAGTGACAAGAGAAGTAGTGTTCCCCAATGGTAACCTCTGACACTTTGGTCTGAGAACGCAAGTAGAAGTATTGGTTCCTGGAAACCCAGAGACAGGTGCAGCTCTGGGTCAGCCCTGGGATACCACAGCTGGCCTTCTAGAGCCTGGGGAAGGGTAAAAAAGTGGGCAGCAGATCTACATATTAGTTTTCTGTTGCTACTATAACAGAAAAGATGAGATAATCTTCCCATTTCAAGATCCCTGACTTTATCACACATGCACAGTCTCTTTTGGCAAACACAATGGCATTCACAGGTTCTAGGGATAAGCCTGAGATTCATTCATTTATTTATTTTTTGTGGTACATGGATTGAACTTGGAACCTTGTACTTGCCAGGCAGGTGCTTAAACTGCTGAACTATATCTCTAGCCCTAAACTGAGATAACTGTGAGGATCATTATTGAGCCTGCGAAATCTGGAAAACTAATGGAAAACAGGTAGTTTAGTGGCCATGAGAAAACCTGGAACACAAGTAGAAAAAAAAATTGCCTCAGACTGCTGGTTAGCTATGTGGGTAAAAAGGGGATTCTTAAAACAACACAATATTCTATTTTCCTTTTAAGTCCTAAACAGTGAGAGAGAGGGAATTTAATACAGCCTTACATGTTTATTTCTGATCTATTCCATTCCTATCACTTTCATTTTTAAAGTCCCATTATGTCTTATCTGGATTATTGCATGTGGCTAGAAGAGTGTCTTTGAAATACATTTAAAAATGTCACCTCTCTGGTCATTACTCCTCCTCACCAGCCACTCAGGCAAGGTCCGATGTCTGTGTCCTCACACTTTTCTCCTGACACTGCTCCCCTGTTCATGCTCACCTCTCTGGAGCTCGGCAGCTCCCTCTGATTGAGGCCGCTACTGGCCAGCACACATCCATCTCGGAAGCTGCCTCGACTTTCCTCCATGCCCAGATGATAGCCATGAGGCCGGAGTGCAGCCATGGGCTTGGGTCTCTTGCAACTCTGGGTACACTCTGCCATCTCCAGTCTCTCAGTCCCCTTACCTTGCTCTATTTTTCTTTACCAGGCATCGCTAGCTAACATACTACTTCTCTAAGTACATGTGTTGTCTGAGTCTTCCTGTAAGCCATAGGAGAACAGGGTTTTGTTTGAATTTGCTAACTGATATACCTCATATTCTTAGATTAAGTTTTTACAGTGAGTGAGTACTCAAGACACATTTCTGGGGTGAATATTTTGCTTTCACAATATAATCTACTATTATGGGCCCAAGAAAATGTATTTTTATTTTTATTCTGGTTATAAAACAACCGAGATACTCAAAAAAATTTATGTATACATGTTTTGAGATACTTTTACACTTTTAATATTTTACTTTCATCTTCAATCTTACAGAATTGGTTATTGTTGCTTTCTTAACTGCTTATTTTCTGTAAGATTTGGAGAAAGCAAAGTCCGAATCCTGTAAAATTTTTGTTCTCTTGCGCAAAATACAGCTTGTTAACCAGATTATATTTTCCATTTACTCTACAATACCAGAGAGACATGGCTTCAGACTATAAATGTTTTCTTTCTGTGTTGTCAAAGGTCATAAATACCCTTAGGGGTGGTTATTATAGCACTACTTTCAGTTCTACACACTGAAAAAAAGAAACCACCACTGCTGCTTGATGTTAAGTTTCACTCTTACTATTTAGTTGTATGGTTAAAATGGAACAACTTTATTTGCTTTAATTTTGTATAAAAACACTCTTGTAAATGTCAAGGTCTACACTTCAGGTGATCCAAGAGCCATGGGGATAGAATATAATCTTCTTGAACTACAAATCTCATTACTGTTTTAGTGTTGGTTTCCTTATCCATCTTTAAATATCAGCAATAAAGATAACTGGCAGAACCAATGAGAGTACTGGCTTTCACTGGTGTGCCCTGCAAGAGAGGTTTTTAATTTTCTGCAATATCACACGTTTGGCCAAGTGTGTGCTTCCAAAGAAATGGAACAAAGCATACAGCAGCCTGGCCAGCCAGGTCACCAGGTCAATTCTGGCAACAACTGGAGTGACAGATGTCTTAATCGCTGAACCACCACTGAAGTTTTAATGACTTTCTTTATTCACTCTTTCTTTATTCACTT